TTTCACTTTTGGTTTTGAAGGTGTGGCAAGGCTGGTTTTCCTCGTAAATATAAACACTCTAAACTTGTCAGCCATAAATTTGATAAGTAATTTTTAAATGACTAAATTTAGCAGAAAAATTACAAAATAAATGTGAAACGTGAGCTTATTTTAAAGCTTAGAGTGTATATTTAACTATACATAAAAAAAACTTGAAAAATATTAGTGAAACATAGTGAAATGACATGTGTTCGCAGTGCAAATTTTTGAAATTTTAAACGTGAATATTTTAAAAAATATTAGTAATTTTTATCTAATTTTTGGATATTCCTACTCTGGAGAAGCTGCCCTATCCGTACATTCCCCATTTCTATGGAAATTCGGTTTTTTTACCCCTCCGCCAAAGTAATCGGAATCGTGCCTTAAAATCGATGTTTGTAATTTTGAAACGAGGTGGACAATGTATAGCCGTAAGGTTTAAATCACAACCCCGATTTTTTAGTGATATTGTTGTAGCTTGTAACTGTGGTGTGGCATGAGATTCTAGAGCATAGTGGTTTAAAGTTTTTCCGATCAACACTGCCGTGCCACCATGCACTTTTCCATCTGGATGATTCGTAACATATAGTCTAAACCCCGGTATTTTGAAATTATTTTTATTTGTTAAATGTGTTTCTGAAATAAGCATTACATCTATATCTATGTGATCATCTTTATATACATACGCCATATACAGATATTTAGTAAGCTCACTTTTTACTTAATAAATTTTGCAGCATTTGATTTTGTGATTTTATTAAATCTGGGTGAGATTTATAATCATAGTTTCAATACCTCCATTTGGAGGATTTTGCGGGAGTTGCATTTGCACAGTCTTGCCTTTCACCACATTTGCATAGCTTCCTTGCATATTATTATTGTTAGAAGTAATAAGATTTGAACTTTTTTCTGAGGTTGCAATAATTTCATGACGGGGTGTTTGGAACATTTTGTTACAACGTGCTTGAATGCCCTGTGACAATATCGGTTTCAAATCTTTATATACAGGGCAGCTTCTGTAGTTGGCAGTGTGATTTCCTGCATGATGGATGCATGTGGAAATGGGATGTAAATCACCACATACCACACAAACACTGCGTAGAGTGCAGTATGGTTTAGTATGCCCATATTCTTGGTAGTTAGTACATTATACCCGACCGTCTCTTTTATGTGATTCTTCCACAGTTACTCTACGATGCAGCAAATATTTAAAATTATATATTGGATGTGTTTCATTTTTTTAAGTGGATTTGAGTTCGGCAACAATTCAATTTTAAACATTGGCTGTGGTACTTTGTTTCTATTAAATATACTTACAACCGTTTTAATTCCCAAACCGCATTCTACCAAGGCACTTTGATTTGACTAGAGTCCCTTTCGGACTCAATACTCTTGATTACAAAAACTAGGATTTAAAGAGCTCTTCAGTTGATACGAATAATAATTTTTGTTTTTATTTGACAAAAATTTTACGATTTTCATGAAACTTTTTTCAGCGTAGGACTGAATTTTTGTTTCGTCTATATTGCCTTTTTTCAAAGGCACTATATGAAATTGTTAGTGCCAACAATTTCACTTAATTTCGCAACAAGAGTATTACTGCTACGTTCGCGCAAATATATTGGAGGTAGTTTTTCATCAACGACTGTGGTGGTACCCTTCGCATCATCATCTGAACCATTGCTTAGAATGGGAAATATATTGCCATTTAGGATTTCTGACTTTTTACTATTTGGAGTGCCTGGTTGAAATTTTTTGGTATTGACCGCGGAGTTAGCTGGACTTAATTTCATTTTTACGTTAATATAGCGAACCAGTACCAGCCCGAACAGACGGCCCTTTTTTGCTKGGTACATTCTCACCTTGCATTTTGTTTTCCTTCGCTGTCCGGGTGCTTGCTGGTACCTGCATTCTGGGTTCTTTCAGTTGTTGCCCGTTTGCTGTTCTCTGCTGCTCGGCTGACTGCGCTTGATCGCTGCGATGATGAGTCATCGCCGTTAATTTTGTTTTTGCCAGGAGTTACTGTTGTTGGCTCGACAAAGCTAAAGTAGGCATTTAAAGAATGCCTGCGGCCTTGCTGGTGAGGCTGAGTAGCACTCATATTTGTTTGTTTGATTATTATTTTTTATTTCGTGCATAATTTGTTTATGTTTACTTATAACAACTTGCGTGCACTGTTTCTTATTTGTTTATATTATTTAATAAATTTTTTTTGGTTTTCCTTAACTTTTGCTTGCTTGCGTTTTAATCACAGAATTTACGGAGCGAATTATAAACACGTCCGTACACCTTGAACACTGTAACATATCACTTTAGCAACAATAATATCAGAGGAACTTGTCATCGATGAAGATATGCATGCTAATCTACAAGATACTGTAGATTTTATAATAAATAACACAATTTCGTACGTTGATTTTAGAATGATGATGAGATGGCTGAGGCATTGAGCAGTTCAGTAAAAAATTAAAATTCCTTTACAACGTGAACCAACTGCAAAATTGTGGACGCAATATTTCTACATGGTATCAATTGCTAAGGAGTTTATAAAAACTTAGCGTATGGAAGATTGGATTGGACAATATATGCTACAATTGGAAAACTTGATTGATGATCCTGAGGTTTTCGAGAGATATACGTGGGGATTTTTCACAATTAGACGTTCTGATAAATTGAGTTGTGGAAGTCAATGAAAACAGATGGAGGTGTTGCTCGAGGAAGAAGTTCGCAAGAGAGCGTCAAAAGTAAATGGATTTATTTCATGCATGCAATGAATACTGTGGAGGATGGAGTCATGTGTAGAAGTTCACACAAGTGAGGAAAGTTTTCTGATCGCCTTTCACTTGGGAGTGGCCAGAAACGATTCTTTTACATATGACTCAAGCAGCTCACGACTTCCGGTCCTTAACCAAGTATCCTCTGGGTAGCCTAAGAACATCCGTCTGAAGGTGAGCTAAAGTGAGAAGGCGAAACATTCCCTGCATAGGGTTCTGCGCTGGGTTTGGGACCCGCCACGTAAAAAAA